GGGAGAAGAAGAGGATTCATACCTTTTCCCAAAGGTATTAGCACGTAAATAAATGTAATGGATTTGAGTGGAATTCGAACTCGTCTCTCCGATTCCTCAATCCGAGCTGCTATGAAGTGGAACTATGCCATAGATGCAGTTCTCTTATGGAAAAAATAAAAAAGATGGCCGAAAAGGTGAATTTCGACCGTTTTTTTTAAATAGGTGTCCACGCTAAGGGCGCCAAAGACTGCGTTCATCGTAAGTGTTAAGAGGAGTCCCCTTGGCGAAAAAGATGGCATGATCCCAAAATATTTAATCGGCAAAAAATACATTTTTCTCCTCTAAGTTAGACTTACAACCACATCACGTTGGTCATCAAAGTTAAGCAACGTTATGCCTGTTCAGTAACTCGGTTAGTGACCACTTGGAAATATAAAGTGCTGTATATTTGTATGTACAGATCGTGTAATGGCGCAATTGTTAACCAAAAATCTGAGTTTCGATTCCTGCTGGGTTCGCTATATTCATTTACGCGTAAATACCCTTGGGAAAGATATATATTCATCTCCTCTCCTCCCAACTATCGGTAAATTAGAAAGACATATCACTAAAAGAATTAATATTTAAAAAAAAAATTCTTGCAATCTAAAAATATTTTCTGGCTTTAAATAACCTTCAAAGGGTTGATAAACCGTAAAAAACGAACCAATCAAATAAAATCTTTTACGCTACTGAGTCATAATTTGTAAGCCAATATTTACTCGCCTTGATTATTGGAAACATACATTATTATTAGATAAGTGCGTCTTATATATAAGTGCGTCTTATGCGCTATCAAATAGAATTGATGGCAGCTTTATTAACTACTCATTTTATTATAATAATCATTATTTTGCGCCGTCCACCGTTGCTAAGGAACATTCATAATGGTTTCTTGATGCTTTTCAGCTAAACTTTCAGTTTGCTTAAATATCAAGAGGTATTTGTTCATGGATATGTTTCTTTAATAAACGCAAATTTTCCTGGGGGACACTTTTATATATTAATATCTTTAGTTATCAGAGGCGAAATCTTATCCAATGATCCATCGTTTCACCAATCACATCTTGGAACTCTTTTCATTTTACTGATCATTCATTCTTACTGTATTCCCAAGAAATTAAACAGGCGTCCTTTAGCTTAGCCCATTGCCAAAATCTTAACATTTCATCAACTGTATTTTCTACATGCGTTTGCAATGTCGAGAAAATTTGGGGTGTGGGCTTATCATAATTGGCGGGCCAAAATAATGCTAGGTAGAAGTGTTCAAAGACCATTACCTTTGCTCCATCCCCTCCTTATTTTTTAAAATCATTTCGCCCAAGCAAGGCGATAAAGCCACTCAGACGTAAGTGGGGCGGTATACTGAGAATAAATAAACAGAGAACACGTTACTAAGGAGAAAAGACCATAAAAAGAACAGTAGTCAAGGAGACGGAATATGACGATTGATGTGGCATTTAATTTTAATTATTTGATGGTCGTAGCTGACAGGAAAGTAAGAAGCTGAGAAAGTGTTCCACAGGCGAGAAGTGCGAGAGAAGAAACTATTAGAATAGAACTTACGGTTCTATTTAGCCGTTCCAACAGCAAAATGATGAGAACTGACTGTCAGTCAATTACGACACTTAAATTCATAAAGTAGAATTATCAAAGAGGAAAGGTCATCAGAAAAATTACCTTAAAAATTGTTGTAACCTAGAAAGGGTTACTGAATGAGGAATAACCAAAACGGAAGTTTGAAATGAAATGGTAATCGTTATAACATCAAAAAAATACAATACTCGCCATCGGCGTGAATAGGTAAACCACTGCTAGTGGCGCACTACTTAGCATATTACCTCCTGTCAGAACACGAACACTTCTACTAACGATCTGGAGATCCGTGCTGCCTTGGGAAGGTGGTTGTTAGCTTCAGTCATGCCGATGGAAAGCAAAAAAAGACGATTAGTTTGGGCGGGGATAAAATTAACAAGCGAATTTCTTGTCCTAGTTAACAAAGGTTAATGATTGTAGGTCGTCTGACTTAGTCATATAATCCCATGCTTTCTTTGTTGGTATTAACAATTTCACATATATGTTACTCATCATCATGGCTTAACTTGGTAAAACAAAAATCAAGAGGGAGTCTGTACACGTCGCTTACAGGCACGTTTGTGACTGATAAGTCCAATGCAGGACAGGCATATACGGTCGCAGCAGTTGCAACTGAAAGTCCGCTCTGAGCTCGATGGCATAGCGTTGCAGTACTTCCTCCTCTGCCTCTTGTCCCTGAGAGCGGCCCAGCAGGTATTATCAACGACAGCATAGTTGGTGCTAAGACGCCAGACGTCATTGTTCTTAGCTAGGGTTGACCATTGGCAATGTGACGATTTTTTCAGGCAATCTTTGAATCGCTTCTTTGTTGCCTCTCTGCTGCGATGGCCAGTGGAGAACTCGCCGTACAATAAAATATTAGCCAGGCGATGATTTGCCATCCTTGAAACGTGTCCAGCCCAGCATAGCTGTGACTTCAGTAGCATGGTGATCTTCGCCTTTTTAAGGACTTCAATATTTGTGACGAAGTCACTCCAGTGGATGTCAAGGATTGTGCGGAGGCAGCGCTGGTGGAACCGTTCGAGGAGTTGCAGGTGGCGTTGGTAAGACTCTGAGCCGTATAGGGGAGTAGTGAGGATGATAGCATTATATACTCTGATCAAATTAACCATTCTACATCTGCGTCCTGGGTATGACGATAAACTACATCAGCGTCCGGGGTAAGACGATAAACTACGTCCAACAGCAAGGCCCCTGATCACGAAGTTTTGAGGAGCGTGGAACCACCTATTAATTGTTGGCGTTCCCAGGTCCACCCTGACCCGGGGTGGTAGCACCTGCTAGGGTCCCAGCTATGGGAAAATAGTCAACACCCAAACTTGTGTAAAATAGGTTTTAATACCAGAAATACTTTGTAATAAAAAAATTACAGCAATAATTTTTGAAGGAAAAATTATTATCAACAATACTTTAAAAAAAAAAAAATACCAGCAATACAAACAGCTATACATTCTTTGAAAAAATATGACCAGCTATAGATTTCTTCAAGGAAAAATATTCCCAGGAATAGATTTTTGAAGAAAAACATATTACCAGCAATAACAATTTTATCGGCATTAAATAACCCATTGAGGTTGATATGCCGTAAAACAAACCAAACCAAACCATTTTACAGGTGTCTGTTGTACCACACATGTTTGTACAGTTTGCCAAATGCAATGTTCGCCTTTGCCAGTCTGTTGTCGACCTCCTGGACGATTCCAGCATCTGACGTGATGGTATATCCAAGGTAGGTAAATCGGTGGACCGCCTTCAGCTCAGTAACGCCAATGTTAGTGTCGGGAGGGCGATAGATGTTTTACTAATTTTCTATTGAAAATCCAGTCGTTTAGGAATTTTTCTGAAAGACAACCATATTTTTTTAATTTAAAGGTCTGAGTTATTATAAGTTTTGAAGAAAAGATTTTGTAATTTTTATTTAAGAGTGAGATTTTCTTTTAGCAAGGATCGTCATTAATCCAGCAACTGGGAGAAAACTCTTGTAATTTCATTATTTATTGAAACATGAAAGTGAAATTTCCTATATTGTAAATATCCACCTCAAATATTTATATATCAAAATGGTTTAGCAGCAAAGAGGAGGAAACATTTTATAATCATGCTGTAGGCTTTCTCATATTGGCGTGAAAAGAACCAGCATAAAAATGAAGATTTTACTTTTAGTAGGTGCATCAGATTTTACAAACATTGTGTAATGAGTAACTACCCTTGGTAAAAGGTATGAATTCAACTCTTCTCCCCATTCAGTTATGGGTTGATTGGTATGACTTGTATCACCAAACCATTATTATCATCCTGCCCCAACACCAAAAAATTTTTAGAAACTAAAAATATTTTCTGGCTTTAAACAACTAGCAAAGGGTTGATAAACCGTAAAAAATGAATCAATCAATTTAGCGTCTCCTATTGTTTTGAACTATGATATTGTAATGAAGTGAGTGTGCTGACTAAGTGATAACACGAGAGTTGAAACTTCATAGCCTATCATTTTAATCTTTTTAATATTACGTCGATTACTCTCAGTCGTTGTGTAGTATGCGGCTTCATTGTCGCCACCCCTTCATTCTCCGTCTGTGGTGTGTGAGAGACTGCTGGACGTTCCCTGTTCTGTTGTTTATATATCCATGCTTGAAATAGCGAATGCCGATGTGAGGTCACAGACTTCTGCATTCGGCAACCAAGATAATCGCGCACTTTGCTTCCTTTAACGTTCTGGTGTGAAATTTGAGTGCAATATCTATTCCGCCATCATGCTATAATAGGAAACATTGTCATTGTTTCCACAGTTATTTAGACGAGAGTTTTGATCTTTTTTGTTTGTTATTTTTAGTGTATCATTCTTGTATTTCTCAAGTGTATGTTGTATTTGGTAATACTTGAGTTCATTATTTTTAAATACTTTTACTTCTAGAATATTAAAACAATCGAAATGGAAATGTTGGTGCCAATAAAAAACATGGAACCTTTTTTCGTTGCGTATTTCTTGATGCTATATACAAATGGGCATCGTAGAGTTTACAATTTTAAATGTCTGTTCTTACAAGATCGCAATGTTTGTACCGAATTGCCAAGATGTCCTTGTTTACATTTAGATTAAAGAGCCAATCATTTTACTAAGCGAACTACCAGTTCACCGCTGCAGTTCAATATTTTTTCTTTCTTTACTTCTCTTCTTTAGTAGACTTCATGTCAGCCCTTGACTCCTGCCAATCTTCTATTCTCTTTCACTTTTAATCTGTTGGTTCGGGAGGATGGTGCCGGGTCAAAAACCGATTTATCTTTACTGCTGTTGGATATTGGCAAGGCTTGGTAGATTAAAAAAGCCCTAAGACAAATAACTGCTTTAGTTCGCCGTCGAGGACTCTGAATGTTTGTCTAAATAGTTCACTGCTTCTTAAATGAAGAGGAAGCAGACGACAAACCTTGCCAACTTATTTCTCTTTCTATGTCTTCGTTTTTTCTTATCATTTCTCATTTTTGCTTTCTACTTTTCTTCGCCTTTTCTATTTCGCTTTCTCTCTTATATTTTATTCTTTACTCTTTTCCACTCCTTTTTTTTTTCTCGTCTGCTCTCTCTCACTCTTCAGTTTTTCTTTCTCCCTTCTACTCTCACTTCTTTCTGTTATTGTCTCCCTTACATTTCTTTTTTTTTATCAATATTTTTCCTTTACCTATCTTTTCATTTCTTTTACGTTTCCTTTCTCTCTCTATGTTTGTATTATTTACGTTTTAATCTCGCTCCTTCTTTTGTTTCAACTTTTTTCTATCATTTTCGTGACAAGACCAAACTTGTGCTGCTTTATTTTGGCCGCCCGGAAGTGGCCTGGGTCGGTCGATGAAGCAGAACGTAAAGGAAGCAATACGAAAGAAGAAAGTGGGCCGTTGTTACAGTTTTAGCTCAACAACTCCCTTAAATAGATTCCCCTTTGCAAACGAGTGACCAAAAATAAACCGGCTTTATTTGATTGCAAACTTTCATCGTCATACCAGAACAGGGTTTTCGTAAGGAGAATTGCGCTCACCACAGCCTTGAATAAAACACCAAATTTTATCGCATAAAACTACTTATATATATGTATATATATATACACCAGGTGTAACAGTAAAATTGTCCATATCGTTTAAAAGTAAAAGATTGTTCATTAGTTTGATTAAGCTTGGGAATGTTGTATCTTAGAAATGATTAAATATATCTTACTGGAATTCTCCGAAATCTTTATAGCACTATTGGAATTTGCTTTGGGCAATAGGCGTGTATAATTACTCTCCAAGCTTAACAGAAGAATCGTGATGAAATCGTTCACAAGCGAAAATGGCATGTTCATCATTAATTAATCATAGCTAAGGATCGGAAACTGATGAAGGATTGAAATTAAGTTCAAATATATATATATATATATATATATATATATATATATATATATATATAGATACACCTAGTGAGCCAGACAAACCTACCTAGGTTTCACCTAAACGGATCGTGAAAGGCAGAAACGTTGTAATAAATAGTTGCCATATTTATTACAACGTTTCTGCCTTTCAGTATCTGTCTATATTTCTGAGATGATGTATTATGTACGCTATTTACATTACTCGCACTATCATCCTCATCTTTGTTGCCATATATATCAAAACGTTTCGGCCGTTGTACGCTCCAACAAATTTGAGAATGATAGTCCGAACAATGTAAATAGTGTAAAAGATTGTCAGTTAATATTTTTGGCCTGATATATTTTTCATCTTAATTTCTGCTTTTGCTTTTTATCGCAACTTGAGAGGAAATAAAGGGTTACACTTTGAGTATATTCGAACTCGCATCCAATTTCCTCGAGTAGCTGCCTTACCGATTAGATCGCAAAAAGTATCATTTGTTGAAGCTCATATATAACCATACAATTTCGAGTTTTTATTTTCCCCAGAACGCTTGATATGCTGTCATCTTACTTTAATGTTTTTATATACAAATATTATTAATAGTAGTTTTATTGAAAATTGATCATTAGAGAGAAATAATTGTTAATTATCATTCATTTTGGATGAGCGTTTCTTTCATCTAATTTCAGTTGCTTTTATATTGCGATCACGTTATTATGCAGCATTGATATCCAGATCACTATTAGGCAGCACGGATTAAAAAAAAAATTGTAACCATTAGTTTTCGTAGCTTAATTGGTAAAACAGCTGCCCTGGACAGGGTAGTTTCACAAGGAAAATATATGTGAGATGAAATTTTTGCGGTAGGTTTATTCTATAATTCTATATACATACTGCTTACCCATTGAGTGTAAGATAAATATCTGAGACTTGCAATAAAAACTGAAATTACATCGTAAGAAATATTAATCGAAAAATTAATAATATTTGCGTCTAGAGATTTTTTTTTTTGCTTTCACTGGGCAGGAATCTGAAAACGAATTTTTTGATTATAAAATATTTCAGGTCACTTGAAAATTAATTTTTATGCCATTTAGAAATTAAGGTTACTGGATTCCATCGTCTCAAAGTTTTGGACAAATTTGATTTTAAATTTAATTCTTTGATTTCATTAATCAATTAGCCTTGGCAAATTTACTGTCTGCATAATCTAAAACCTGTTTCGTATTTCTTTCATACAATGTATTATAAATGAGACTCTCTGACATTGCGTATTTATGCATCGAAAATTGTCGTGATATTTTTTGTTGCAAGATATATCTTTTTTAAACGATGCTGCGAAAAATCTTGCCAAGTCTTTTTGCATTTCACAGCCATTCAAAAATTTATGTTTAGGTATACTTATAAAATCCAAATTTATACATTTATGTTTAACTGTTATACTGGAACACACCTATTCTATAGTTAATAGACTCTCCCACCTATAATAAGTAGTAGTAGTAGCAGTCGCTAAGTCAGTAGCTGAGTGAGTTGGTCAGCCAGTCGATGTCGGACACTAAAAGTATCAGCGACCACCACTAGATTTCTCTGCGTCATTACCTATTATATCAAGTTCCTAACGTTTTGTACGTCGAACCTGTTTTAGGACCGACTTAGTGAAATACAAGCCTCCACTGTGAAACTACTCTACAACATTAACATACAAGTCAAATTTTGGTGAAGATATTAACCTAGTGTCAATTTAAATCGTCGTTTTTTACATATATCTAGACTATTATTATAAAATATAATTTTGAAACTGAAAATATCCCTGACAACTTGCCAAGTATTTATTTGAAATCAAAAAATTACAAATTTTAAGCAAAATGGCCACAAAGAAAGAAGAAAGAAGAAAGTGTCAGTTTAAACTGACACCATGGGGATGTATAGGTAACTAATTGGTTCGTCTTCAAGACTATTGAATTAATTTTAAATAGGGATATGTTTCGAAAATATTGACAAATTCCAAAGTGTCTGTAATAGTTTTGGTACTGAATTGTCATCTCGATTTCAATCACTTTCTTACCGTCGTCATGTTTCTTCCATTTTTTTTAATAAACATTTTCATAGCAGTCATTCTATTTCTCCTTGGTGCCCCAGTCTCATAATTTTAAATGTACTACTCGATTGGCAATTAGGTCTCATCGTTTTACTGTTGAATTAGCGAGATATAACCATCAGTTCTATTCTAATAGTTTCTTTTCTCGTACTTTTTCGGTTTCCTGCTTCCCTGTCACCCACGATCGAGTCAGTAGTTCAAGTCTCGGCCGGCTGATCGGTTGAACTCTCTGCCTTCGGGCGGGGAGAAACCCGAAAGAGGCTACGCCGAAGGGCGGATTCTCTTTCGGGGAGGTAAACCGACCGTGAACCCGATATTTATGCTGTGGGATAAGAGCTGCAGGGTCGAGAATGATTCATCACTCACAAGGCCGCGTAATCGCTTTTTTTTACTCTATGATGGACAAGGAAGACTGGGTAGCATCAGTTCATATATGTCTGCGATGCTCCATTCTTGGTCTGATCTGGGCATGGCAGCAGGAGTCTGGTATTTTCTGAAGCGATTCAAATAAGCGACCATTTTTTTCAGCATCTTTTGCGATGGCATCATCATAAGTGATCGATCATTTTGACTTTTAATAAATTAAGATTAACAAACACAAATACCTGTGATAAGGAAAAGAAGCTTAAGTTAATCTTTCAGGTCAGTGAATGTGTTATTATTTTTGCTCTATTATTATAGCCTTCTACCAGACTAGGCTAAGAACCCTCTTGACGATGTATCAATTTTCGTCCTAAAGAATTACAACCAATTCAGAACGTTAGATACTGGAAAAATATGAATGGTACGTTTAAATGCAAAAAAAAAACAAAACAAAAAAAAAAAAACAAAAAGAAAAGAAAAGAATGGTATAAGATCATTTTATACATGTCAATAACTCTCATGACAGGCATTTTAGCGCGGAGTAATGGATAATGAAATGATTCTCACTAGGGAGTCGTAAGTTCTATCCTCACTAGGTGCCTCATACTTGTAGCCTTTATGCTAAACTAAGAATACCCTTGGAAAAGGTATGAACCCTTTTCTCCCCCACCCAGATATGGATAAATTGCAGGACAGACGGGGTTCTATAGTCTTGGATGGCAACTGGTCTACCGCAGAAAGAAATGGCAACCTACTGCGGGAAAAATTCTGCCTCGTCAATCATGTATCAAAGTATACATGATCGCCTAAGCGTGTATCATGATGGCACATAACGGACTGACTGATGATAAGCAGAGTAAATAAATCTAGGAGTTCCGACGAAGGGTAATGGTTAACGAGCTTGTGTAATTCATCATTATTGCTGAATAGTGTGCTAGATCCTCATTGAGTGCCCGGGATTTGTGGCCTTGTACCAAATTAAGCTAAAATTATAAAATAATAGTAGCTTTCACGAAGATTGGGTCTTTTCAACTGGTATCAGTATTTGATATTTGAACCCAGGTAAAAAGTTAAGATTTCGAATAGAGAATCCTCAAACCACTGAAGCGCCTGACACTTTGAATATTAACGCAATACAATTTTCTTATTCATCTATTAGACTCTAGTTGACTTGTGATATTAATTTGAGTTTGTTGTAAAACTGACACCTGCTTGGCCGTTGAGGTCATTGTGTATTCCCCATAAGAGTTTGTGGTCAGATATTGGAGCTTAGATAAAAAAAGAAAAAAGCACGATTTCGAACGTTTAGATGATTAACGTAGCTCAATTTTCCCCTCTTCATTCCTTTCTGTTTGCCAATATATGGTACTAATTCCAGCTCAGGAAATTACTGGCGCCTACTGTAGTACGATAGTTAGTCGGGTTGATGTCAGTTCGATAATATATTGACTTTGCTCTTTACTAGGTGACAAACTACTGCGAGCGTGTACCAGAATTGGTTCTATCTATGTACAACGCAATGTGTCTTAACTAAATTCATTTTTTCTTGAAGTCCTATAGCCACCACAACGCATAAACGAAAAAAAAAAAAAATGAAAAAAAAATAATGACATTATTAAGCAATGAAAGATATAAATGTCAGCTTATGAAAGAATCGCGTATATTTGAATGTTTTCCTAAAAGGAAGTTGATGAGGTCGCTTTTTGTCGTCTGCTTTCGTTCGCTAAAACATAAATTAAATTCCGATATTTTTTTCTTTTCAAGCGGACAGTCACGAAGAGAAGTTGTTTACAATCGACAGCGTTTTTTTTTTTCTGCTTCTGGAAAATATTTCTGTCTATTTTGGTCTAGCCCAGCCAATTGTCATTTATTTCATTTGCGTCTCTTTCAAGGAATTG